TGCCAGCGGAACCGACAGCAGGTCGGATTCCCGCGGTTGAGATGTGGCTGCTTGCCTTTACAAGCAAAGCCTCTCCAGCTATCGCCATCGCAATTGCGTGTCCCAGCGATCTGATGCAAGCTAAGTCGTTCATCGCCAGTTCCCCCACCATCCAAGGGACTATGCTATTGACAAAGAAGAACGAGGGAAACGGATCATAGACCAGGGAAGTTGATTAGCCGGGGTCACACGGGGGAACCTCATGAGTGCGAAGGCGAGCGAGACAAGACATGACGCCGAGAAGATACTGATGACAACACATACTAGGCAAACATATAATGACGAGGGGGGGCGATGAGGAGGAGGAGGAGGAGGAGGAGGAGGAGGAGGAGGAACAGGAGGAGGAGGAGGTGGTGGAGGAGGAGGAGGAGGAAGAGGATGAGGAGGAGGAGAAGGAGGAGGAGGACAGTGAGAAACGTGCCCCTCGGCTGCAGTATAGGGAGAGCGCTGAGGGGCACTGACGGTGAGGGCAGGTGGACTGGAAGCTGGCTTATAGACGAGCGTTGGCGAAGAACTTCCAGGTTCTGAAGAAGATGTGGGACGAGGCACGCCTCGGCTCCATCGATGGGTTTGGAGTAGGCAGCGAGTTGCCGAAGCAGAGACTAGTTCACAAACTCGAGTGCTCGATTCACACTATTTTTGGTCTGCGTGTGTGTGTGTGTGTGTGTGTGTGTGTGTGTGTTCGACTGCCCCTTGTCTTGGTGGCCCCTTGTCGTCCTGATTCGGGCGGACTTGGCCTCTGCACTGCGCTGCCTGCCCGCTGTCCCCAGCCGCTGCCCCGCGAGGGGCTGGCCGTCTCTCCTCTTATTTTCTCTTGACACTGCGCGCTCCGCGATGGGCGCCCGTCACGCTGGCGAGTCGCCTCGCCGCTACGACCTACAAGTGTATGTGTGTGCGTGTGCGTGTGCGTGTGCGTGTGCGTGTGTGTGTGTGTGTGCGCGTGTGTGTGCGTGTGTGTGCGAGTGTGTGTGTGGGCGTGTGTCTATCGTCATTGCTTTTGCTTGGTCTGGTAGAACACTATGTGACTTGAGCAGTGTTCAGAGGGGACTGGTTTAAGTTACACCTTGGGCTCTTGCCCGTGGCCTCCGGGGTTATCCAGGGCCCCCGTTATTCTGAATGGAGAATTTGGTCGACACTGCCTGCGCAGTCTAGCTTTTGCGAGCCGAGGGTTATCAGGCGGGTGTGACGAAGCAGAGCGTCATTGATATCATGCAGGGTCTGGGACACCCTAGCTCGCAGCGATGTGCATGGACTGGCCAGCGGACATGTGTAAACCCACGCAGCTTTGATTGTCCAAGCTTGCATGCATTTCCATTCACTCCCGCGTGCACGAATTGCATTGCGTTTCCTGTGTTTTTGTTACTCAATCCTATGCCTCAGTGGTCCAGCGGTATTTGAGCAGAACTCAGGTTGATGACGGGCCCATGCAATTAGTCATAAGAAGGCACATCGAGTTTCTGGGAGTCTGCTTTCATGACCATCGTGTTGAACGCAGAGTGCGCGAATCGATGTGAGCATGCTTTGAGGCATTGCAGTACGTATCCCCGAGCTTGTATACTGTCGATGGTCATAGCACATGGGATACCTTTCACGAAGGAGAAACGAGAGGACACGCTCAGCGCTAGCAGTCAGGGCAGCAGGAAACACATTCAGGCGTGGGGTCTGGGCAGGTCAACATGGACAAGGCCCGAGAGTTCCGCGTCGAGAACACGGTGCGCTTTGCACGTGCTCCAGTAGTAACGTTGTGTTGCCAGTGCAGTGTGTGTTTAGACCATGCAGTTATATAGTTCAGGATGGCGTCCAGAGTCTCTGCCTTGTGCTAGTGAGTTTAAAGTCTCCCTCCCGACAAGGGGTGCCCGGCTATTTGAATCGCCACCTCGTTGCATTCGATCTCGTTCGTGGCATGTATGTTTGGCTTTTGTCCTCTCAGTTGTTTCGTTCTTCTCCGAAGAATTGCACTGGAGAGGCAATCATGCAGACTTATGGTTTGCTGGTATACGTCTTGCAGCGCCACATGAAAGCATTACGGTGCAACTGCTGCGGCAGGCGCTCCGGCTTGAGAACATGCAGGCGGCCGCGCTCAAAGAGGCCGCAGCGGCGCGTCTGCCGCAAATTGGGCGCTTCGCTTCGCAGCGAAGGGCCAGCACGGGTTTGCGGAAGGGAGAGAGGTAGACACGAAGCAACCCAGAAAAGGCTTCGCTTTCGAGGGATCGAGAAGTTGGCATCTCTTCCTCGGCGGGAGGTCGCGGAAGGGCGGCGGGCACTGGCGTCAGTAGAACGAGGGCGGTGGAAGCCGGTGGCGAAAGCGGGTGGAAGTCGGATTTTGTTGGGGATCAGGATTTCCCGAGCCAGCCACACAGGGCACGAGAAGGTTGGGGGTTGCGCGCAGGCAGCCCCTTTAAGTAGTGCTGGCTGGCCGCAGGCCCCCGGAGCAGTCCAGGCTAGCCTGAACGGTCATGCGGTTCTCAATGGGACCCAGGGGAGAAGGGGCGTTTGAGACGGGCGATGCCGATTTCTCAAGTCCGTTCGGCTTCACCCACGAGGTCGCCGCATGACGCTGTCGCTCGCAGTTTCCAAGCCTTAGAAGTCGCTTTCGCTAGCGTCCTTTGAGGAAACGTGTCGAACAGGCCCTCGAGTAGTCAAGGGCGGTTTCAAAACCCTGGCGCCGCCTCCAGCGTGCTGACATCGATGGCGGAGAGCGCTGTGCGAACCTCGTTTCTGGGCTTTTAGGTGACGCTTCCTGTGCGCACGGTCCGCGTGATGGGGTGTGCTGCAATGGCCAGGGGGGGGCGCAGTGCGAACACTGCCTCTGGGGCCGTAGGTGTTCCCTGTGGGCCACGATTTGTGAGAGGTGTGCCAAACTAGACGGGAGGGCACGCTGCGAACCTTGTCTTCGGGGCCGTTCGCGGAACTCTTTGCGGGCCACGATCCGTGTGAGAGGTATGCCGAAGTGAGCGGGGCGAAGTTATGAAGTCTCACTTTGGTGCCGCAAATGCAGCTAATTGCGGGGCACGATCTGCGCGAGGGGCGTGCCACTATGGGAGTCTTGCCTCTGGGGGACGTAGGTGTAGCTCCCTGTAGGGCGCGCGATCCCTGCGAGGGGTGTGCCGACATCGGCGGGGGAACGCTGGCCCAACCCTGTCTCTGCGGCCGCAGGTGGAGCTCCCTGAGGGGCACGACCCGTGCGACAATACATGTACTCCGATACCGGACACTTTTGACGACACCTAGAGTTTGCTAGAACGTAAGCTCGCGCGAAGCGCGCGCACGTGGTTCCAGTATATCTGTAAATAGATACATGAACACATACTATAGAGATGTTGCACCACATCGCCTGCACCGCATAGCTCACAACACACCACAGCTTGCATCATATAGCTTGTACTGAACAGAATGCACCACGTAGCTTGCACACTGCTCACACCACATATACCACACCTCATATCTAACATGTCATAGCTCACACGTTATGTCGATAAAACAGGACGTGTGAGCTATGAAATGCTGGATCGCAACATCTTGTTGCTTGGGGTCAATGTTGACAAACATGCAGGATCATACATCGTGCCACTAGCGCAACAGCGTGGAAATTGTAGTATGTTTCCAGTCGCAGCGGCGCGTATCCAGGCTGCGGTCGGAAGCAGCCAAAGGGCATTACGGGGTCTAATTGGGCACAGCAGGACAGAAGGCGCGGGCGCGGGGGGAATGTGTGTGCCAGGGCACGGCAGTCACATAAGTCCAGGGATGTGAGTAGCCTTCGAATCCAGGGGCCACGATCTCGGGACTTGTGTTGCCAGGTAACGCGCAGCAAGAAGAGATGCAAAGGACAGTGCAGACCGAGGGCGTATCCCGAACCAGGGCGACCATCAGAGTCGCAAGGGCAATACGTACGACTGAGCGAAGCCCAGGGCACAGAACTCGCACACCGACGCGAGGGTCACGTCTCACTGGATGGGTGCAGGGAACGGCTCGAGTCCAAGCGCCCGAGGTCGGAACTGGGGGGGGGCACGCACAAGAGGAGCGTGTCCGAAGCCTCACCAGGTGTTTCAGGCGATCGCAAAAATGGATCAAGGGGCGTGGATTAGCGACGGGTCCCGTTTCCATGGGACATCGCGGATTTCCGCCGCCGAACGAGGCGGCACCGGCCGTATTTTGGGGAGGGTACCTGCCCCGATCCATGGATTTGGCGAGCGCGCGCCAAATCCATGGATCGCTAATCCATGTGTGCGCACTCCCGGCAAAGAGCGGGGTGATGACTAGGGGGGTGTGGATCTCACGGCGGGAGCCATGACATCTCCTCAGATTTCATGGCGCCTCTTCTTCTTTCACTACGTCCTTGGCCCGCCTTTGGGGTCCGAGTAGATGGGGTCTGAGTAGATGGGTTCGGAGGACCGCGCCTCATCGCCGATGCATCGGCGATTCCGCTTGATGTGGAGCCCGATTTTCTCCACGCCGACGTCGGCGGTGCATCGCCGACGTCGCCGATGCATGACATTTGTATCACTCATGCATCGGCGATGCGGCGCGATCCTTCGACCCTTTCTACTCGGACCCCATCTAGGACGCCTCCAGAGGGGCAGAGCGGGGGGAAAAGGGAGAGGAGGGCTGCCAAAGCACCGAGCCAGAGGGGCAAGAAGCTGCAGCAACAGGAGTGGTAGTAATCGCCCCGAATGAGCACCAGGAAGAGCAGCGGTTGCGGGCGCAGTCGTAGTTCTAATGACGTAATGGCAGTCGTCGTGTTGTGGTCGCAATCAGACAAACAATAGTTTATGGTGTGGGGGTATTGTGTGAGTAGGAGTGAGGAGCTGTAGTCGTGCTAGTTGCGTTGATAGCTGCAGTAGCAGGGGGAGAGGGGAGCAGGTACATGGGGACGTGAATGCGCACGCACATGGCGCGCAACAGGGAGGCTGCGAGGGGGGCGCAGACTTCTTGGCGTGCATGTGTCCTGCATCCTTGCTTTCGCGCCAGAAGCTTGCCTTCTTGAAGCAGCTGAAGCGCTGGCTCCTCCTGCACCGCCCGACCTCTCTTTCCGCGCGCCTGCAAGCCAGTGCAGGCTCATGGAGGCACTCCGACCCGCCCTTTCCCTGCCTCCTCCTCTCTGCCCGGCCCCCCCCTTCGCTCCCTCGCCTGGATCCCCCCCCGCTCCTCTTCTCCCTTCCCTTCCATCCTCCGCTCACATCCTTCCAGTCCCCTCTCCCTCGCATCTTCCCTCTCCCCCCCCCCTCCCCTTCCCTCTCTCCGTCCTCTTCCCTTCCCTCCTCCCCCCCCCCTTCCCTCTCCCTCCCCCTGGGCGGGAGGGGGGCACCCGCTCTCTGGGATGGGCGATCGCGCCCTGAATGTGCAGGGCGCGGACCGCGGGACACCAGCAGGGCTGGGCGTGTCAAATCAGTCCACCGACAGTCTATAGGCCTTAGTGGGCCCTGGAAACGACAGGGCCGGTTTTTTACCGGTTCCGCTTTGCCGTTTTGGTTTGCCGGTTCCGACGCCGTTTTTTGCCGGTTCCGTCGCCGTTCTTTTACGGGTTCCCGCTCCGTTTCCAATCCTGGAACCGTTTCCGGTCGCCGTTTTTTTGCTGCTTCCATTTTCAAGGGACATTTTTTGGGATACGGTGAAAAAACGGCCCTGCCGTTTCCGGGGCCCACCAGGGTCTAGGATTCCTGGATAGGGTCGGAGAAGATGGATTCGGAGGATCGCGGCGCATCGCTGCTGCATCGGCGATGCGGCTCGATGCGGGCCCGATTTGCTTCACGTCGACGTCGCCAATGCATCCGAAGTCGACGATGCGTCGCCGTTGCATCGCCGATGCATCGACGATGCATCGCCGATGTATCGGCGATGCGGCTCGAACCTCCGACCCCATCTACTGGGACCCCGTCTAGGAGGCCTCTAGACAAGAGTGAAAATTTTGAACAGAGGCTACCAGCAAAGAAGCAGACTCCGCGTCGTCTCGCCCAGGGGGTGGCACTTTTGCGTCGACCGTGCCACTTTAAACTCATTCGCCTCTGGTGGGGCTCACTCTTCAAGCCAGCCTGTGCCCCCGTCGCCGTTCGGAGTCCCGAGGCCATGGAACCCGTTGTGAAGGCCTCTTGGGGGCAGTTGGAGGCCTCTTGGGGGCCTCTGCGGAACCTCTCAGGGTTCTCCGGACCTTGCAGTCGTGGCTTTGAACGCCCCAGGACCGTTTTTGTGTCTTGGGGCCGCCTTGAGAACGTCTTGGGGGCCTCTTGGGGCCTCTTGGGCCGTCTTGGCTTGTATTTGGGGGGCCGCCTTGGGTCGATCTTGGGTGGGGCCGTCTTGGAGCGTCGTAAGACTGGAAAGACGAGAACGCTGAAACCGTGGAAACAATATTGGGACGCTCATGATTTTGTCCTCCTGAAGCCCTCTCGGGGGGTCCTGGAGGCCTCTTGGGCAGTCTGGAGGACATGTTGGGCCGTCTTGGGACCATCTTGGATCCGTCTTGGAGCCCTCTTGGAGGCAATCTCGTGGGCCATTCGGGTCGCCTTGGAGGCGTCTTGGAGGCCATCAGTGGCCACCTCTGCCGTCCTGGAGGCGATCTGGGCAGTGGGGGTCTCGTTTTGGGAGCCCTTCCGGGTGAGCCGCGCGATCGGCCAAGACCCCATTGGGAATCTGTGTAACTGTGTAACAAAAGGACAAGACGGTCAAATCTTCGGCACGACGCACACCCGTTGTGGCAAGCACCTGGGGGGGCGGCGGATCGAAGACGCCTACGGCGAGTCACCGCCGCTTCCTGCCTTTTTGGAAGTGCCTATGTGGCGGAAAGTGCGGAAAGTTGGGCTATAGCTATCGGACCATGTGTTCCCCTCAGCTGTCGTTGAACCCTCGATGGGGAACATGTGAGAAAGAAGAGGAGAATGATGCGAAGAGGAAACGGGAGTAGGAGGAGGAGGAGGAGGAGGAGGAGGAGGAGGATTAAGAGGATGACGCCTTTTGGAAGCCTCTTGTGGAACTCTTGGGGTCTCCTGGGAGCTTCCTGGGTGCCTCTTGGAGACCTCTTGGGGGCATTGTGCCTCTTGGGAGCCTCTGGGGGCTTGTTCGGGGCCGCTTTGGCCGTCTTAGAGCGGCCCTGGCCCGTCGGACGCCGTCTTGGATGCCTCTCTGAACCGACTTCGGGCCCTCCTGGGGCGATTCAGGGCCGTCTTGAGGCCCTCGCGGGGCCGTCTTGGAGGCTTCTTGGGCCGTCATGGGGTCATCTTTGTGGCTTTTGGGGCCACCTTGGGGCGATATTGGGCGCCTCTTGGGCCGTCTTGAGTCGTCTTGGGCCGTCGGAAGGCCGAAAAGGAGCAAATGCCACTCATCTTTTTAAGCCAATCATTTTGGCCTCTTCGGGCCCTCCTGGAGGATCTCTTGGAGGCCTCTTGAGCCGTCTCGGAGGCCTGTTGGGGGCCGTCTTAGGTCGTCTTGGAAGCTTCTCTGGCGGACTTGGAGGCATCTTGGACCCTCTCGGGCCGTCTTGGAGGCAATGTTGAACAATCTTGGGCGAACTTGGAGGCCATCTTGGCCGTCCTGGAGGCCATCTTGGGCCGTCTTGGCCCATCTGGAGTGGACAAATTCTTGCCAACCACCTCCGGGCAAGCATTCCAGGTGGCCAGCGCAACGGACCGCAGCCCCAGGGGCAGTTCTGAAAAAACCAAAAGCCACCGGACGTATAGCACGCTGGGCAAGCCAACAGGGGGCGGCGGATCTTGTGGCTTTCGGTCCATTCTGCCACCGTGAGAAGGGTATCCTGAATGCCTCTCGGGTATCTTGAATGCAGAGAAGGGTATCTTGAATGCCTCTCGGATGCCTTTCGGAGGGCTCTTGAGGGCCTCTGGGGGGCCTCTCAGGGGCCTCCTGGGGGCCTCCCGAACGTACTTCCCACAGGCGGCATGGGCTGCAAAATTTCGTATTGCCTCCCAGGGGTTCCCAGAGACCGCCGGGGCCTTTTTTCCACTGTTGGCAACGTGAGGGCGGTCTCTAAGGATTAGGAGGATTCGGGTTCGTTCGGGGCCCCACCACGGGGATCCTGCGGCTGCCGTGGGCCCCCTCCCGAGGCTGCCACGGGCCCGCTAGGATGGGGGGCCCTCCTGCTGAACCTTTTGAGGCCCCGCACACTGCCGCCGTGAGGCTGCCCTGGGCTCGTCTCGGTCGGTGCCTCCTGGAAAGACCTGGCGGAGCTTCCGGACCCTTCCTTTCGCGTCAGGCCATGTTTCGGCGGCGAGCGAGGGGGGGAAGTGAGAAGGAGAAGGGCTTCTCAGAAGGCGGTGGGTCTTCTCATAAGTCCTTGCGGCTTCTGAGAAGTTTTTTGTGTCTTCGGGGAAGGCTCAGAAAGCTTCTCAGAAGTCCGTGGGACTTCCGAGCCTTCTGGGAAGGTCCGCCCCTGCTCACTTCCCCCCTGGCTCGCCGCCTAATGCTGCACCGCTGGGCCCAGGCGTCGCGGCCTGGGTCCAGACTGCCTCCCGCCCTCCTGCTCCGCTCCTCCAGTCCTGGTCTGCTGGGGCCGCGAGGGCCTCGGGCCTCCTCTCTCTCGTGCGGCCTCTCGAGCCCTCGTCGCCCCGACCGGCACGGCTGCGCCGGCCACGGCTGAGGCGGCCTCGGGCCCTCCTGCACCACGGGCGCAGCCCTCGTGGGCTGAGCCACGACGGGAGGGGGGGACTGGGAAAGGGGGGGGTACGAAGTCTGCGGCACGCAACTGGTTTCTCGGGCTGGACGAGAGGGGGGGATGGGGAAAGGGGGGGGGGTGCGAAATCTGCTGCATGCAGCTGGTTTCGGCCCCGCCGTCAGGCCCATTCCTCGATGCATGGGCGCCTCCCGGCGCCGGGAGGCGCCGGGAAATCAGCTACGTAAGCTGATTCTCAACCCCCCCCTCTGCTATCCCCCCCTTTCGCCCGACCCGAGTAAACTGGGCCACGACGGCCTCGGGCCATCTTGCCTCGTTGGCCTCTGGTCATCTTGCTCCGGGGGCCCAGCGCGAACGGGCTGGGGCAAGATGGCCTCAGGCCGTCTCGTGGCCCCCGGAGGCACGGCCTGCCCGCGGTCCTGGCCAAGAGGTCACGGGGCCCTCATTCCGTTGGCCCAGCACCGCCTGCGCAAAGTCCACCTCCTCGCCAGATCCTGTCCCCTGGACGTGCCTGGAGGTCCTGGAGGTCTCTGGATGCTTCGGGAGGGTCGAGCACGTGACCAAATCGCGCAGCAGTTTGTCCAACACGTCGGGATGCCTCCCCTTCTCAGGCAGAGTTCTCACTAGAAACTGGAGCGAAGTTACCAGGAGTGCCCCATGCTTCTCACGAGTTGACGATCTGACTTACTGCCCCCAGAGCTCGACTCGATTCCTGGAGGGTCGAGGGGCAACGTCGGCGGACCTCACTCCCGCCGTCCTGCAGGGGGGGGGGCTCCCGAGGGAGGCGGGCCCCAGGCCCAGGGCTTCTCTTCGTGACCGTGCTCTTCAGCCCGAGTCGTCTCTTGATGCCGCGGGGCGCGAGCAGGCGGGGTCCGGGGGATCGCGCCGCATCGCCGATGCATCGGCGATGCGGCTCGACGTGAAGCCCGATTTCATATTCCTACATGTCTCACCCGAGCAGTCCACGACGGTCTCCCTGCGCTTCCCCTTCCTTCTGAATAGCGATGAGATTATCGCTCTGATGCTGTACTCCAGAGTTCGGGTACAGCATCGTTACGAGTACACACACAAACTGTGAAGCCCGATTGTTATCCAGGCCGGCGTCGCCGATGCACCGCCGACGTGCACGGTGCATCGCCGATGCGGCGGGATCCCCCGGTCCCATCTGCTCCGACCCCATCTCGGAGGCCCCCGACTGGCGGAGGGGTCCGAAAGCGGCGACGAGAAGCATGAGCAAGCTCCTTCGTGATGATCTTCCTGGCTCCGCGCCGGCCCCAGGTTCGACGTCCGGGTACACCATGCCCCACCTTACGAGCCCCTGCTCCGGCGCCACGAGATCGCGGAGCTGTGCTCCCGCCCCCCCCCCCGCAGTCCCCCCCCTCGGCGACGAGTTCTGTGGCGGCGGGATGGGGAGGGATGAGGGGAGCGACAGGTGGATTGGGAGGGGGAGAAAGAGAGGGAAGAGGATGATGATGGTGATGGTGATGAAGATGATTATGATGGTCATGATGATGATGATGATGATGATGATGATGATGATGATGATGAGGATGAGGATGAGGATGAGGATGAGGATGAGGATGAGGATGATGATGATGATGATGATGATGATGATGATGATGATGATGATCATGGTGATAGTGATGGTGATGGTGATGGTGATGGTGATGATGATGATAATGATGACGATGAGGATGAGCATGATGATGATGATGATGCTGATGCTGATGATGATGATGCTGATGATGATGATGATGATGATGCTGATGATTATGATGATTCTGATGATGATTATCATCATGATCATGATCATGATCATGATGAGGAGGATGAGGATGAGGATGAGGACGAGGACGAGGATGAGGATGAGGATGAGGATGAGGATGATGATGACGATGGTGGTGGTGGTGGTGATGATGATGATGAGGAGGAGGAGGAGGAAGAGGCGGAGGATGAGGAGTTGGACTGAGGAGAAGGATGAGGACTGAGGAGGAGGAGGAGGAGGAGGAGGAGGAGGAGGAGGAGGAGGAGGAGGAGGAGGAGGAGGAGGAGGAGGAGATCGATGTCCGAGCAGCGCAGAAAAGGAGGAGGAGAAGAGGGGACAGGAGGAGAGGAGGAGGAGGAGGAGGAGGAGGAGGAGGAGGAGGAGGAGGAGGGAGGAGGGAGGAGGGAGGAAAGGAGGAGGAGGAGGAGGAGGAAGAGGGGAAAGGTGTATGCAGGTGGGTTGGGGGGCAGAGGAAGAGGGAGGAGGGCAAAAGGGGCGGGGCTGCGCAGGTTGGAGGGGGAGGGGAGCGGGGGAAGTATGGAGGAGCAGAGGTAGGGCAACAAACAGTTACATAAACATAAAAACTCGGAGGTCCGCGCGGATTCCTCGGATGGGCGCTGGGGCTCCCTGGCGGCGCGCGCTTTGCGCGCAAGGGAGGGGGTGCTCAGCGCCGATCCGAGAAATCCGCGCGGTCCTCCGAGTTGTTATGTGTTTGTGTCTCTGATTGTTCCCCGAACCAGCAGAGAATGATGATCAGAGAAATCCTCGTGGTCCTCCGAGTTGTTATGTGTTTATGTCCTTGTTGGATCCTCGGACCAGCAGAGAAGGAGGACGTGAGTTAGCGCGCGAAGAACACTGTACGCTACACTTTTCCGCCGGCGGGGACGGCTGCCCCCCAGGCGGCTGCAAAGTTTACACCTTTACGGTGCCACGTTGTGGCAAGCATTTTGCAGCCGCCCAGGGGGCAGGCGTCCCCTCAGTGAAGGCAGCCGCGGCGGCCACCGCACGCGCTCGCCAAGACGCATTCGCTCGCCAACGCACCGCGAGAGCTTGCGCAGGCCAGGCCGACCTTGCAGACGCGCCCTTGCTCAGGGCACGCGGCTGCGGGCAGCAGCAGGTGGACGCATGCGCCCAGCCACGACGACGACCACGACCGATCAGAAGAGCAAAACGTACCCATACTGCGACCTTCCCCTCATTTACGCCTTCTCGGGCCTCTTCGGAGGCCCTCGCCGCCACCGCTGGAGTCGCCTCGAAGTTCTGGCCCGAACGCATCCCGGGTGCTGATCGGCCAGCGTCGGCAGCAGCCACGAGATATCGCACGCACCTTTGTCCTGCTGGCCCTGAGCAGGCTCCGAACTCCCCCGGGCGGCCCGGCTTCCCTGAGCCAGAATGCCTGTGGAGGCAGCACGTTCAAAATTGCCTCCATTCTGTTTAAAAGGGAAAACAGCTCCTGAACGGGCTGCCTCGACGCTTCACCTCTGTCGACTGCTCACACTCGGCCTCACTTGCGCCTGCCGCCCTTACCGCCCTCGAACTTCACCGTGTTCATATCCTCATCGACAGGATCGATTGCCTCGAACTCTCCGTCGACCATCTCGTTGGCCGTCACTGCGCCGAACTGCTCGACCATCGTCCTCAGAAACTTCACGCGCCAACTCGGGTACTCGGCCAGCTCGGTCGCTCCACACATCGTGACGGTGCGAATCGCCTCGTGGTAGTTCTCCTCCACCGGTACGCTGGCGAAGACCTTCAACGCGGTGACGGATTTCCCATCGTCCTTCTCCTCCTGCTTGACGCAGCTGCTCACGGGGACCTCTGGGAGCGCGTGGAGCAGAGCCTCCGTGCCCGGCGCTACCGCCTGCAGCCCCGAGCGGCCTGAGCTCGCCAGGTGTGCATAGGCTCTCTCGAGCTGCTGGAGGTTGTCCAGCCCCTTCTCGGTATCGTTTGACCGATCCCCATCCCCATCTCCATCCCCTTCGAGACCCCCACCAAATTACCACCCCAGTTGGGGATACACCCCTCGAAACCCGAAGAGAACGACCTATATCCCTATCTAGGGGGGTAAATCGGCCAGTGGGGCCCAGGCCACGCCGCTGGGGATGGGGATCGGTTACACGATACTCACCTTCTCCGTGTGGGCTGCCGTCCTTTGTGCCTGCACATTCCCCGTCTTGATGTGGAACGTCAGCGTCAGCAGTCCCCGCGCCGGCAGGGCCACAGGCTTCTCGCACTTCACCTTCGCCCGGATCATCGTCCTCTGCATGATCAGCGCCTCCGGCTCGCACAGCATCTCGATGAGGCACGCCACAGAGTCCACCGTCCCGGCCACGGCAAACTTCATCGGGGATACCCGCTCTGGTTGGAGTATCCGCCCGATGGTCACAGACTGCTTGGTCTTAGGCCAAATCCGCTACCGATCTGGTTTGATTATGTGCCAGTTACCTCGCTCTTGACGCCTTCGTTTCTCATCGGCTGCTCGTCGAAGATGTGTCGCTTCATCGGCTAGCTGATACCGTCCACCTCGCACAGTCGCTCGCAACATGTCAATCGGTCTCGGTAAGGCCATCAGCAAGCTGACAGGAAGTCGGTGCCCATCGCATCGGCGCCGATACTCGGGATAACGACTCCCTGATGATGATGATGATATCGATCGCCGTCCTCTTATCCTTGACTGGGGCCCCCGATCCCGTAGTGGTGTCGCACGCCGGTTTACAGTTCATCACCCACACCGAACCCTTCTTGGCGAACGACTCCCCTCGACGAGCCGGATCGAACTCGACATCCATCGCCTCCTGCAGCATACATATCATCCATTGGTGATGCCCCAATCCGTCGGCCAAAGTCTGAACCTCCCCCGCCAGCGTCGCAGCCACCACCCGCTTCAATCGACACGAGCGCCACACCAACGGAGTCCACAGGGTCTCTTTATCTCCAAGAGCCTCTCTGTTAACCGCTGCGATTCCGTAACCTGCTTGCGTGCCCTCCCTACTCGCATTCGCAAAAGCTGCATCCGCGTGTATCATAAGCGTGAGACTCTCGGCTGGGATGGCATGGAAGGTGATAGACATGGCTGCGAATTGACGAGCACGACGAATCATCTGATGAATCAACTTCTGCGTAGCCACCGTCGGACCACCCATCTGCTGCTGCGTCAAATTCACTTGCACGGACAGGTTGAGGCGACTCTGCGATTTGAGCTAGTTGCCCTCGCCCAGCGCCTTCTTGCATGCCGAGATGTCTTTTTGACTCAGAAACCTTCAACATATTAATGCCCTGCGCAAACGGCTGCTGGGACACCGTGATGCTGAAGTCCTGGTTCTGTTTGACCTGCGACCCGCAAAACTCGCCCTCGGAGATCTTCCACTTCCGAAAGGGGAGCGCCTGCTTCAGGTGCTTCACGATCTTATCGTACTTGTTCCTGGCGCCACCCGTGATGACGTCGTCCACGTGAATGACCAGGATGGCCGACAGTTTCATGTCATCGTCACGACAGTAGAACATGCATGGGTCAAGCCTCGACTGACTCAGGCCCACCTCTCTCGCCACCGACACGAATTTCTTGAACCAGCCCTTCGGGGCGTCGTTCAGACCGTAGAGGGGTAGGTATGCGGAGGAGGGCGTCTCCAGCGACCTCTGGTACCCAACTTGGCGGCTGGGCCATGAACAGCGGACCCCCCGGACTGTCCAATTTGTCACTCTCGAGAAACGCGCCCTTCACGTCGCCAATCTGGATCTCCCATTGGTGGCTCGCGATCAGCTGCAGCGCCATGGCCCTCGCGTTCTGGCTGACAGTGGGGGCATCCGCGTCGTCCTTCTCCACCAGGTTCAAGGGGTTCGGGTCGCCGAAGCCTTTGACCGTGAGCCTCGCCGTGACCACGCCACCGTCCTTCTTCACCAGTACGTACCTGGACTTCAGGATCTAGTCAGGACAGGTCGACCTCACCTTCTTGAACTCCTCAAGACTCAGCACCGTCACAGCTCGCTTCTCCATGTGTATTGCATTCCATTCCACCGCCTTCGCCTCGTCAATATTATTATTCTTCTTCATCATCTCGGGCGTCGCATTCGACTCCTTCAGCTCGTTGCGCGCCTTCGCGATCAGACAAGTCAACTCAGGCAGCTCGACTCCGATATCATCCATCGTATTGATCTGGACCACGCACTCCGAGTGGATTCCGGGGACCCCCTGTTCAGGCAGTTCCACATAGTACGGTTGGTCCATCCTGCTTTCCACATGCTCGATCGCCATCAGCACCAGCCTCTCCTTCTCGATATCCTCCTTGGCGATGAAGAGCACCTCCGTGCACTGTCCCTTGGCTGGCCGATCCTCCTCGCCGACCGTCGTCTTCGTGCAGTACCTCTTCCGCCTTTGCACATCCGCCGCCGCGACCTCCTCCGTGATCTCGCTTACGGGGTCCACCATCGTCTGGGACGATGCCGACGCCCCACCCATCTTGCGGGTCCTCGCTCGGCGGCCTGGTGACCTCGAGATCTCCTCCGAGCTTCCAGCGGTCGACCCCAAGGTCTCTCCGCCTCCGATTGTACACATCGGGGTGTGTGTCCTTCGTCCCCGCGGGGC